GCCAAGGCCGTACTGACATCAGAGCCAGGCTTTGCACCGTATGTTGCACTCGTCACGTCAAACACACTAGCATGAGCTTTAGGTGTAGATGCTAACAATAAGCACAAAAGCATTGCCAAGAAACTTAATTTCATAGCCATCTTGAATTTCCTTCCACTTTGTTATTTTATTCTCTGTTTTTTTTCCTTTGGAAGGATGATGCAACTCCATTTTGAGTTGAGGCCAATTTATGGTCCAATTGGGAAGGCTCAACACCATCAAACTATCCAACCAATCACTAACTATTTTTATACAAAGTTGCATTCTAGTTTAGCTTTATATCCTATAATTAGTAAGCTGTTTAGCCTTGAACCAAATCTCTATCTAGAACGTGCTAAGCTGTTTGTAGTATTGCTGTCCTCCTCAACACCCCGCAAAATATGTATATTCCGAAAAAGGAGGACCAAAACCTTGCATACACACCTGGACCATGAAAAGTCTGATGGGTTAGGGTGGGATTTGAGATAGAGGTTGGTATTTATACCTCCCACTAAAAAGTCCCACAGAATTTCTCATTTTTAAAAATCCTGAGAAACTAACAAGGTTTGAATACTATAAAACTTTTTGTTACTTATTTGAAGTCTTGATTAAATACCACTAGATTTGACAGTTCTCTTTTGAAAAATTTAATAGTCTTAATGGAATACCACAAGACTTATTTAGATTACTTAAAAGTCTTAATTGAATACCACATGACTTATTTATCCTAAAATAATCTTTTAAAATCCCAATTGAATACACAACTTTTAATTCTCTTCAATCCAACTCTTCAACTCAATTCAATTAGTGATCCTGAAGAGAACACACGTACTCAAGCGAGGATGGCAGCTCCAGATGGACCTGACTCTGATCTCTTCGTCTACTACTGCAAGCACTGTGGATCTCACCTCCTCATAACTGGTTCTCTCTCTCTCTCTCTCTTTTGATTGTAGTTGGGTTATTGTTTGAGTAGAAATTAATATGTTCCAAAAAAGAAATTGGTGTTGGATTTTTCATAATGGTTGTTAAAAGAGAGTTTGTTGAATAATACTTGTGGCAAGCAGTTTATATTATACTGAAGTGTGTGTTGTATAAGACCAGTTGCAGAAAATGCCCAAAAGGAAGACTGACAAAGCTTATGTGTTGGACAAGAGCAAGCATCTTGCAAGGCTTAACATTGCTGAGGCTGGAAAAGTTGTATTGAAAAGGTTCTTCTTTCTTCTTCTAATGAAAGTATGATATCTTATACAGTTTGTAAGAAGAAGAAAACAAGAACTGGATGACACTCACTGTTTAACAGTGGCTGATCACCTGCCTTCGGTTTCTTGTACCTCAGTTTGTCTGACAGTTTCTGTGAAACTATTTTGTTTCTACACCTTTTCATACTTATGTTCTTCCTCGATATTGTCCTGTCAGTGCATTATGTTCTTCAATCAAGATAGAGTTTAATGATTTTTTCAAAATTTATGTGATAGTATCATCATAGTTCATATTTTTTCAAAATTTATGTGATAGAGTTTAATGCTTTTTACACCGGTGTTAGGTCTGAGACTAAGCCAGATGACTCTTCAGAGAGGGTGGAATAATAACTCGAAACTCCTTGTGGTGAGTTAAACAAGTTTTACTCTCTCTCTCTCTCTCTCTCTCTCTCTCATGGGTGCGGGTGTTGGTGGCAGCTTGGGTGTATCATACTCTGTTTCAAATGTGCCTATGTTAAGGAGAACAATATCATTTTTGTTATTAAAAAAATTCAGAGCATTGTATACAATAATTTTGCTGCCATGCACTATTCCCCGATTTACTGTATTATTGCACAAACATTTCTACTTTGGCTACATAGATAAAAACAAGACATGGTATTTCTTTCTTATCTAATTTTTTCGACTGCTTATAAAATAAGCGCAACTACAATTCATTTAGGGAACCTCACTTGGAGCATCCTGATAGAAGCTATGTATGCAATAGACCCCTGAATTATGTATAAGTTATGATGCCAATTTAACTCAGAAACTGCTTAAGCTGATCTTGCTTGGCCTTCTTCATTATCATTTGGTGATTATTGCAGGTGGAGGATTTCTCTGCTAGGCAAGTATATGAGAAACTTGTGGAGGCTGTTCAACCTTGAGGTTGTACAATTTACATGTCAATTGTAATGAAAGATAAGATCCATTCAACTTGTACGTTTACCCTGGACATCCTGGAGGCTGTTCAACCCTAAACCCTGATTGTTGTAATGCAATGATGCAATGTCAAAAATTCAATTGTACAACCTGAGTCTATTTGATGATAATTCCAGTTAATTCTGTCTGTAGTCTTGCCTTTGCTATTAATTAATCAAGAATTGGTCAATTGGAGTAGTTACTAGTTATGCGCATGTGAACTTTGTGAACGAGAATAAGAGTCGGGGAGAAATTAAGAATTTTGCCCTCCAATTGTATCTCAATTTCTTGAAAATAAAACCACTTATGCTAGGATCCAGAGTTACCTTTTAGAGAAATCATTTATAAGAACACATTATACTTCGTATACTTTTCGCAATGGCATACTAAACATGGAGTGGCATGTAAGAAGTCTATGATCAAATTTCGTTATCTTGTACTGAGTAACACAAATACCCATAGAACTATGTTGAAGACGCAAATGGGTTGAAGTGATCAACAGGTAAAAGTATAAGTGGGTGAGCCATGGGCAAAGACATGCCTGCGCCAACTTGCATATTAACCTTACCCTCATTTCCATCTCCAACTTTCCAATCAAAGCTTTGAACCATGGCAGCAATTGAAGTATTCAACAAGATGGTTGCCAAATTCGAGCCAGGACACCTTCTCCTTCCCGATCCAAATGGAACATATTGAAAATTCTGTCCTCTAGTCTCTTTCTGATTCATTTCCCCATCTGGTTTCTCTTCAGGAGACAAAAACCTCTCTGGCCTAAAGTCATCTGGATTGTCCCATAACTCTGGATCTCTCATTATAGCATACTGGTTGATTGCTACTGCAGTCTTTTCTGGTATATCAAACTCTTTTATTTTACAAGCTTGGCGGCTCTCTCTTGTTGACAAAGGCACTGGTGGGTGTAATCTTAGTGTTTCTTTTATCACTGCCTGCAAGTAGGGGAGGTTTCCAACATCCGATTCCTCAACTAGTCTACTACCAACAACCGATTTTATCTCCACCCTGAGCTTGTTGAATATGTTGGGATGGTTGATGAGCTCAGCTACTGCCCATTGCATGGCCTCTGCTGTGGTAGCAGTACCTCCGATGAAAAGATCCTAACATAATAGTAAATTATGAATTGATCAGAAACAAGATGTGGTTTGAAAATGGAAAGGATTGAAATCACTTACAAGCAAGAAAGCCTTCACATGAGTTCTGGAAATCTTGACCTCAGCTTTTTCATCTTGATAGGCCTTCAATAGTATATCCATCAGATCTTTATCTTCTCTATCCCAACCCTCTCTCTCTGCTCTCTCTTCATGCTGCTTCAGCATCCCCTCTAAAAGTTTATCATACCCCATGGTCACATCCATGAGCTGCTTCCCATAAACCCAGAAACCCAACCTCTTCAGTGGGCCCAACACATCCCCAAAACAAACCTTTGCAGCCAACTCAAATGATTCTTTTACCAACTCCCTGATTTTTCAGCTTCCTCACCATTCTCTGAACAACTAGTGCTCATAGCCATCCTGCTATTAAACAGGTACTTGTTAAAAAGAGAAATATTGGAGAAAATTTCAAAGATCATATCAAATTAATTTTAGAGCATGCCTGCATATACTGTTGTTTGTAAGCCTCATCAGCTCCGCACCCACATCAACCATCTCTTTCCTCGTAGCACTCTCCAACATTTTCCTCAAAAACTTTGCAACCTCTGCATGTCGAATGGCGCGTGACCTTTCTATTTGCTTGGGTGAGAGCAGTTCTGTCATGCAAAGCTTCTTCATGAACCTCCAATAGTCACCATATGGGGTGGCAAAGAATCCCAAGTTTCCGTACGGCAACTCGTCAGCAAAAGCAAATGAGGGACGAGAAGCAAAAGTGAGATCGTGAGTTTTGAAGATTTCAGTAGCCATGGAGGCTGACGAAACCACTAGCATCCGAGAAGCGCCGAACCGGACTAGGAGGAGAGGACCATACTTGGTGGAGAGGTTGTGCAAGGACTTGGACAAGGAGGAGGAGAGGAGGTGAAGGTGACCGATGACCGGCAAAGCCGGTGGACTAGGAGGGAGGCAGAGAGTGGTGGTTTGCTTGGTGGGTTTGTTGAAGAAGGATTTGATCAAGATGGTGGAGAGGAAGCAGAGGATCAAGCAGATGAAGTAGTACTGGAAATCAGTCATGGTGCTCATGGCTTCCAACAAGTTTGAGCAAATAGATTCAGCGCAGAGCACTGATTGATCACTGGAGACTTGTATTAGTATGGACAAAAGCCACTGAATTCTGATTTGTTAGGATAGATAATGTCGTTAATGCGTAGGCTATTACATCATGTTCAATCATGTTCAATTAAGACTATAGATTTAGTTGACCAGTGTGAGCAGCAAACCTTGTCGAGTTGTCAATAAATAATTAAGACTGTTGATCTGTTTGACTCTGAGAGAACATGCGGTCCAGATTTATAATAACGTGAGCATTTTTCTTGTCACTACATAAATTTTGCAAGAGGAACATCACTCACGTGTAACCCTTGGATAGTTACATATTAAATTAATAAGAAAGCTGAATTTTCAGCTGAATTCCAATTTGGATGCAGAACCATTTTAGTCGAGCCTGCCAATGTTGGCGGAGACTGGTGTCAATTTTGTAACCCATTTTGTAAGCCCGCCAATGCGGAACCCTTTTTTTTTTTTTTTGGGAATTTCACTAAAACACCCAAAATGATGGCTGAATTATAAAAAAACCCAACACCCAAAACACTTTATAAACACACTCAAAACTCATCATTACACACACTCAAAACCCATTTATAAACACACCCAAAAAATATACAATTATTGATTTTGGGTGTGTTTCTATGTTTAAATAGTGTTTGGGTTTTTTTATAAATACATGTCTAGGATTGGGTTTATTTATAAATTTGTATTTTTTTTTTCAATCAAGTAAATAATACATACTTAGTTATTAATATAATATATTAGTTCAAATGGGTGAAAAATATTGCTTCAGGAACCATTTTTTTTCTAGCACTACTGTGTTGAGTAACAGATGGGAGCTAGAGTGTACATAGTTCAAAGTTGATAGTGCACTTCTCTGGGAGCTGCATTGCCATGGTACGATCGACGCCAGAAATTGAAGGGCCATTGACAAACACACATAGGGAAGGCTGGCCAAGAGCTTTGAGGGCATTGCAGCAAGTCTCACTTGGTGGGATGGGGCTAAAAGGAACAACTGCTGCTCTGCAAGGTATTAGCTGAACAATCGATGAGAAGAAGGTGCTTGCGCACATGGTGCCCTCCCCTTGATCCACCAAACCTGTCAAAACTAACATAACCACCAAAACTGGAAGAGTCATAGTAATTAGCCTCATCTTAATTAATTTGAGCTGAGATTAATTACAGAGAAGACGTCCCGAATTCGAATATGTAGGACATTCTGATGAGGGTCATGCCATCATGCAGGTACATCCTACCCAAAGGTCACACCTATATGATGCCATTGTCGCCAGCTCTGCCACTGATGATATGTGCATAAAAACCAGCCAAAAATACAGTTGGTGTGCTGGTGAAGCAGAAACTCAAATTTCATGACTCTTTGCATTTTCCAAATACATTAGCAAAGAAGCTCAAGTTAAAATGAATCGAAGGCACCTACGTTCTCATTGTTTGCGTATGTAGAGGCCAAAAACAATGCGCTTCAGTTACAAGATCCCAAAGTGTGACCATCCAAAATATTAATATCGGATAATTAGCTCCAAGTTAGTATTTGAAATTATGTGATTTAGACCAATCTGAAATTGCTAAGAAAAGTATATTCGATTATGAAGTGTTAAACTAGAAGGACGAAAATGAAATTGATGCTACACTATAGCAACTCAGAATACAAAATCAGTTAGGAGCAAATCCAAACTTGCGTCATGATCATAAGTTCACAACATTTGAAGTTTTCGAGAAGATATTTCCGTGTTCAATTGAATGCATGATTCTCGAGGAAATTGCTTTCGAGCACATTTGACAACTTTTGGTGAAAATCAAAATATGAGAGCACAATGTACCAAAAAAAAAAAAGTTAAGCATAACTAACAAATCAGAGATGTATATTCGATTTGGGAATCCAAAGAAATTGTGGAAATTTTCTTGCTGGAGGAAGAACAGAAAGTCAGTAAATGAGACAATATAATTCTCCAATCTTTCCTTATGTGTGCGGCCACAGTTAATAATCATCGATCCCAACCTTCTTTATTACAACTCATCTCATTCCCAAGGGCCTCTTCAAATGCATTTCATATCATTGACATAACAAGTTATGATTTTCACATATTACAGGTTATCAAAGTTCTCCTTTGTTTCCTTTGAGATTGATTACTGCAAGCTCCTGTTCAACAAACTCTCCTGCAAAAATCGCCGGATATTTACTGGCAAGCGAGGATTCTGCAAAGCAACCTAAGGGCTTTAACACAGCATCAGATGCTATGTGCGCAAACAACTACATCACGAGAGATGTCACATATAAGTATATTATGCATCGAGAAATCTTATTTATATAAATCTCTTTTAAAATGCCAGCTAAAAGCAGAAGAACGAAACAGTAACAATGACTACAATATGACTAGCTTCACTCACTGTAGAAGATACTCTCCAAAGTAAGCGATGTTGCTCCGTTGCTAGTTTGATTGCGTCAAGTGTCCTGTTTGTTACAACAACTTCATGCATTCCAGCTATGCAATCTCCTGCAGTCAACCACTCTATCTGCAAATGAAAATTGGTGTGAATGGAATACAATTAGCTTAAAGATTTAAAATACAACAAATGTCATAGCCAACCAACCTAAAAACAGCCATTCCAATCAAAGAGGGAACTTGAATTAAAAATAAACACGCTAATATTTCTTTTCTTTGTAGGGGGGTGGTGGGGTTGGGTTGTGGTTGTTACACTAAGCACAACACAACTAATCAAATGTTTCGCATGTGTTGTATTTTATTTTTTGACCGAAAGATGTGCATAAACCCTATCTGTACTACTAATTGAAAAGCCCTACCCCTCTCCCTGTCCATTTTGAAGTATAATCAGATAGATCTTGCACATGACATTATTGCTATAGTTAGAATATAAGTTTAAATTTTATATTGTATAATGTGTTATTTAATTGATGCAACCGAAATCCAAATTGATTTCCCATAAAAGCCACCATATCCAGGGGGTCAACTAGCTTGTAAACTATTGGAAAACTACTAAGCACAATGGTCAAAAATACTCTTACCTGCTTCCCAGCATGAATGAGAAGACATCCTACAGGAACCTTCACTTCAACTTTTTGCCCATTTCTTAGCCAGATATTCAGACCAGGAAATCTACTTCTGCCATGAATGGTAAGAAAGTTCAGGTCGTAGTGATATCCTGCAAACACAGTACCCTCCTGGCCGTAACGCTGAAGGTCACTTCCTGTTGGAGCTAGAAGGTGTGGTCCCTGGGTTCACAAAGAAAGGGTACTTAGCATATATCGCATGAACTTAGCCAAGAAATTGGCAAATGGAAAGGAAGAGATTCTAGATACTCAATTCAGAAGTTGGTGATTGTCGAAAATGCAGCATGGAGACAAAATACATGCTCTATATCCGATCACAAGCCAATGTATTTAATAAGACTATAAAGTGGTTGAAGAATATGCCCACTCCAAATTCATCTTTGTAAGAAAAAAAGACAAAATAGAGAAGTGTAATAAGATAAAAATAATAGTGGCATTATGGAGCAATACAAAAGGCATTCAACAGAATGCCACACAAATTTGGGGACACAGGTGGTCACAGTGGCTAAAGATAAGAAAAGTGATGGATATAGAAGATGGAATGGAAACTGATGGATGCAGGCAACTACTGTCAGAGTAGGCAACCAGTAATCATGATTCCATTATTTGATTTCAATACCGCTGCCCCACCACTAGTGGCAGAAAGTCATAGAGACATGAATGTAAGTTTCACTTGGCAATCATTGGTCACCTGCTTCATAAGTGATGTGAATGCATCCTTTGGCAAGCCAAACCCAATGGCAGCCATTTCGGCAACAGCCTGAAAAGAAAGAGAGGCATAAACATGAAGAATATTAGATAATACGCAAAACAAGCAAGTGGTATGAGCAAGCTGAAAAATCAAATTAATGGCTCACCTCTATTGCGGATATCATCTTGTAACCCCATGAATCCATGGTATCTTTCCATTCAGGAAACCCCTCGGGTACGACCGGCTCTGCATTAAGTTCCTAGAAAACAAGAATAACATAATCATCATCATCATGGCAAGTAGAATAATAGCATTTAATTAAAACAGTCAATACATACGAGTGCAAAGTGAATATCTAAAGGAAAACAAAGAGTGAGACCTGAAAGCGGGTTTCTGAGGGTCGAGGACCCACTCTCCACATGTATCGCCATTTGCGATCTGCCCCCTTGGGAATGGATGGCTGGAACTCTTTGGGCAGTTCTTTCAATTTCTCCTGCATTTCTTCATCAACAAGGCTTCTTGGCACTTCCACACCCTCTGGTGTCACCCCAACCTGTAATCTTATCCCCACTTCAAGTTTTGAACAACAACAATCCAATTCCCACCACAAATCAAAAGAAATAGACAATTATAAGCCACCAATCAGTAATCAAAGAATTGGGCTTCAATTTTCAATTTTTTTTTTATAACGAAATTCAATTTTTCATTTTTCTGATATCTAGGCAACAGTTTTTCATTTTCTCGGGAACCAAACAGAACCCACCTGGTAATGCAATTGGGGCCTCTCCTGGAGTCGCTTGAACTCCGGCGGCCTATCGAAGTATCTCTCCATCATATCGAGGAAGCGATCGTTGTCCTCGGCCGTATATCTGGGGTCCTTGACCAACAGAGCACCTGTTTCTCTCAGACTCCGGCTCACCTCGCCGCACAACTCCTCCACTTCGCCCTTCGATCCCAAGTACAAACTCAGATCTACCACCGTCAGCTCCATTTTCCCGATCCAAATCTTCAACCCTGATCAAAATTCGATGAGATTCCTGGTTTTTGAGGGTTTACAAATGTTTTGGGGATGGCGGGAGATTTTTTATTTTGTTTCTGTATTTGGTTTTTTGAAGTGGATAATAACGCTTGCGTGGAGATTCCTGTAATAATGGTGTCGCTTCTCTTTTGGGAGAAAAGGATTGCGTGTAGTGCACTGGACATACGATACGTCCAAATTCGGTATTATCCTGACACGTGGAATTGAATGACTGAAGTGGATCCTGCCAGCTCAACATTGATGAAGGTGAAAG